TTGTGTTTGCTTTTATGGTTAATATTTTCCTAGAGTTTTTGCTGCGCTCTGCACAAACAGGAGTGTTTGTGATTATCACTCTGCCCGACACAGGTAATCTTCTGAAGGGTTCAAATCTGTTCCAAGGCACCTGAACTTCTGTCCTTTAGGGACTCACTTTCTTTGTCTGAATAAGATGCACATAATTAATACTTTAAACATAATGTTTAAATAACTGGCCACTATTATATGATTAATGTCTCAATCCCCATCCTTTTCTTTATTTTCCACATAATTCTTCATATGGCAATATTATTACTGTGCTAACCAAAGTGGGCTTGACTAGGATATGCTATCCATCCTTGGCTTCATGACTTTCAGCTGTTACATATGGGGTCAACTAACAAAAAGATTAAATCTCTGCAAAGCATATAGAAAATAGAAATATGATCAATTGAACATACTTCATTCAAAAGATTTTGCAAAAACGTACTGCATTAGAATATGCAGGCTGTACACCGGAATTTGAATGAAAGCTATGAAATTTACTAACCACAACACGATTCAGGAGATGCAGGGCACATGAACTCTGCCAAAACAGATATGTTAAAAATAATATCTGAATTATTATATGTTCCCTGACCATCAAAACCTCTGAAATCTCTAATTTCATTAACATGCAATATCACGTATCTATATAAGCAACACTAGAATTACATTTACAGGCAGGTTATTTTTATAATTCTATACATACACACATGCACACCATATTTATGGTGAAAAAATACATTAAAAAGTCAAACAATATTTCTTTTAAAATATAGACATAAAAGAAACCCAGAATAAATCCTCTGAATGAAAGGGACACTCAAGAACAAAATGGCTTGGTGCTTCTAATACCAAAAAAAACAACAACAACAGTGCTTGTACTTCATTACAAGATCAGCCCTTTTCAAAACTCAAAGTTATTGACAATAATATTTTACAGATATCCCCACAACCTTTCGGTCCAGAGGACCACATGATTACCTGTCCCTGAATGCAAGGAATGGAGAAGAACCTGAAGGAAACCAGCGAACATAGCAGCGTCGGCTCACGGTGCCTTAACAAGCAGAACCAGCTTTGACCAGGTTGCTGAATGCTAGCCTCAGACTGTAGCAAAACCATAATCGCAAGGGTGGGGGGAAACACCCCAAACCAAATCAGTGCAAAGTGAGTCTATAAGGAGTCCTTGTTTCCTGTAGTTCTTGTCTCCTGAGCCTGAGCCAAACGATCCTGCAATGTCAAACATTCTACAAGGCTAACATCCATTAGGGCCAGAAGAGCACCTGCCATAAATACAAATCTCTGCAGTGTAGAGACAGCACTGATGACTGCAATAATCTATACGCACTCCGTGCAATGCTAAAGAGGCTCTCTGCCTATGGAGTATCTTTAATGATTTTCAGAGGCTCCAATTAAGGATCTCATGAAGCAATGTTTGCCTCACTGCAGAAACTGGAAAATGTTTTATATGCTGGGGTCTGACACAGGGAGTGTGATGCAAAAGATCAACACCCACCTTACCACCACTGAAACCATTTTTTCTATTAAGTTCAGTTTGACTGAAATTTACACAGGCAAAGTGATGAATAAAGCTGACAGTCGTTAATTCAGTTAACACTGTGCTTTCTGAATTGCATTAGGAAGACCTGCTTGCTCTGTGAAATTCTCTTTCAGACTGTCAGATCCAAAAAGCTAAGTCTGTAAAAGATGGACATGACTACAAGATTCAGGAAGCCTTCACTGGCAGCCCTTGTTGCCTTGCCTGACTGACCTAGGGCCCCCCAGATGTGCTATATTTCATCTTCAGATCCAACACATCTTTAAGGTGTCAGATTAAAGGAGAATGCTGAGAAGTGGATCAGAGGATCTAGGGGTTGGAGAAAAAGAGCATTTAATTTGTTTGCTTTACTGAGCTGTTTTACTGGACAATCATAAAGACGGAAGGGAGGGGAGAGGGGTGAACTGACTGCACTAGGTCAACTTTCATTACACAGCAGTGCTTTTCTTCTTTTGACCTCATTTGCCTCTATGGAAAGCAAAAGGCAGATTTGATATAATATTTAATACTTTTCTAATATTGCCATGAGGAACAAACCTAATCCTTATCAACATTTTCTAGGCCAAGCTATGATTAGGCTCATGTTGGCATAGATTAAAGAAATCCAGACTATATGCGCATGTTCTGTATGTACCCACTGAATTTTCAACCCGTCAAGGACGTTATTCTCATTAATAAAAGGCACATCGTGTTTTCACTGCAAAAAGAAAAAAAGAAAAAAGAAAGTTTCATCAACAGATTAAGTTTTGGGATGACTCCCAAAGTAGTTGCAAATGAGTGCCAGAAAGCTACTCTTGAAGTCTACTGGCTTCAAGATTTGAAGTTCTGGCTCCCGTGATCACTTCATCTTACTCTTGCCTTGTAGTAAGTTTTAGCTACAAAGGGAAATAGGGGTTGGAAACATTGGTTGTGACTGACTGCTATGTCACAACCAGTACTTCCAGCTTATTTTTAACCAATATGTTAAAATCTAGGTGTAATGAAATATTGCCAAATAGGCTGCAAAGTGAATCTTGCTCATTGATTTTATTTCATCCATGTTTTCTATTTTCTTAACAATCCTCAGAGGAGGAATTTTAAGCAAGAGAATTTGAAAGTAAATGATTAACTTAACTCTTAAAATATGTTTGGCATGGGCTTTATGTTCCAGATTATATCTTGTTTATTTGAATTACCCTAAAAATGTTGTTAGCCATTATTGCTCATTAGGGTTTAGGGAACTGGCTTCATTGTCAGCTGAAAGTTTAGTGAGAAAAAGCTTTTGTATTATTCCAGAAATTCAAGAAGGTACTTCTAGGCAAGGCGCTTATTATGCAATCATCCTGCTCCATTCAGAGAATTTTGCAAGAATCTAAATGTTATCATTTTCCATTTGTAATCTGTTTTCTCACTGCTTCTTCTCTCTTGTTTTCTTTCTTTAAATATTCAGTTAAGGACAAAAGGATGGAAAAGCCTTGAGAGAGCTCATTGTCCGGAAGCACCCAGTCTTACCTGTTGATTCCTGTCAACTCATGCTGTCTACTGATAATGTATTATAAACATACTGATAATGCATTGCTTTGCTTAACATGTTAGGTTAAATTGGATGTTACTTGGACAGATGTAGGCCCTTACTCTTCCTTTCCCAACACCCAAGTAGATTTGAGGTATGTGTAACAGGGAGTGATGGTGGAAGGCAAGGAAGTAACCTATTATTTTGCATCAGCTAACAGACACAATTAGATACATGGTGTTCTTTGATCATTTATTCTTTGATAAAAATATACATTGCAGCATCCAGTGTCAGACCAATTATTGCTCTCTATATACTGTCTGTAATCATATGTATTTTGAGAGTTTTCTCTTCATGACTTGCATACAGTGAATTTTGCAAATTCATACTAGTGAATGTAAAGATATTGTATATATGGTGAGTCAGTATTCAAAACTGCTGTTGGAAATGATAAAATTGTCATTGCAAAAATGTATGGATTTCATTTAGTTAAATATTCTTTGGGTGGTTGTTAGTATGCATTTGGACACCTTATGTGAAGACCTGTCACTCTAGAGAAAGCTGTAATGCTGGGAAAGGTGGACGGAAATAGAAGAGGATGACCACCAGCAAGGTGGATACTCAATTACAGTAGTAATGAGTGCATCATTGGAAGATCTGAAGGACCAGGTAAGGGACAGATCATCATGCCCTTATGTAGAAAATGTATCTGTGTGGTTGCTAAGAGTTGACAGCGACTTAATGGCATGTAATCATCAAGTATGTATATTCTGAACAACTTGCTTTGCTTTTAACCTCAGCTCAATAAATGATGTACGTTTCATATGGCATGCATTTATTCAGGTGCACTGGCCAGATCCCACCTCAAACACTATGTCCAGTTCTGGGCACCACGCCTTCAGAAGAATTCAGACAAACTGAAGGAGGCGCAAAGGGGAATAAGGTTGACCTAGTAGCTAAATCTTATAAGAAAAGACTAAGGTAACTGGGTAAATATAGCTTGAGAATGATGATTTAGTGGAGATAAAATATAACTCTCCAAGTACCTGATGGGGTATGACATAGAGTGAGGCCTGTTCTCTATCATCCCAGAGTGCAGAACGTGAAATAAAAAGTAAACAAAAGACATGGTGGAATGATGGAGGAAAAAAATCACAATTTCATGTGCAGTTCGACCATGGAACTAATTTCTTAGGTGGTGAGCTTCCTTTTGCTGGAAGTTTTCGTACACATTTGTTGGGGAATCTTTCATTTTGATTCCTGCACTGAGCCAGAATGTATGTAAAAAAAAAAAAATTACAGGGTTTAGGTGACCTAGTATTCCCATAAAATACCTTGCAACTCCTAAAAACAGTTTCAGCTTTTTTACTTGATATCTTCCTGTGTAGAAAATGGAAAGATTGGATGATACATTAAATTCTTTCTTGTCAAACAAAGCAGACTAATATCAGGTTTGAAGGTGATCTTTTAGCAATTGATCAGTTTATGTTAAACCACAAATGGCTTGATAGGAACCCTGGGAAATTAATCATGGTTTATTCATCTTGCAGCCATGGAAGAATAATGGAAAGGAATGGGACCCCTAAGTTCAAGGCTTTGCTTATCATTGCAGAGATTTGTGGGTGTATTGCCAAACCATGATTGAATGTTATCTGCAAACTAGACCTGAAGGAGACCATCACCTTTTTTGCCTGAATCAATCACTTCAGGTATTGGGAACGTTTGACACTTTCTAATTTACTTTTTAAAATGCTACTTTTGTCAGTTTACCAGTTGTGTAAAGGCTCAGGTTGGCTTTTCCAAACAATAAATGCTGCAATCTCATAGCTGGATCAGAATGTTAGTGTTTCTCCCTTTCTAACTATGGAAAACCAGCTAAGTATGGATGGAGGCCCAGGCTTCTAAGGCTTCTTTTCTCTTCTAAGAAAAGGCATCTAAAACCTGCAACAACTCTTCATTATACACACAAGTGCATGTATGTATATTTAAGAGAGTTACCAATTTTAGCTTCCTTTATTTCCTAAAGGCCCTGGGAGTTGCTGCTAGTACAGACTCTGGAACTGAGTCAGGGCAGGACAAATTTTCTTAGAACTTGATCTCATCTTGTTTATTAGTTTTATAAATACACACATTGTAAAAGGGCCTTTACCGTAAGGGCCATTAAAATAATTAAGCAATTATTAACAAAAAAGTAGGATAGCATGAATGACTGAATTAAGTCTTTAGTTAGAAATATGAAATTTCACATTTGCTTCTCATGGTGGGCTGTCATGGCCAATCTTACTATGAGCCAATCATCTGAAAGGGTGATTGTTGGAAAGCAACAGTATGAGAAAGTGTTAGAAGAGAGAGCTCCATTCTGTGTCTCATACTTACTTACCTGAAAGAGATTCCCCCACTCCCAAAATAATTTACCATTAAAAGGAAGGAAAATCTTAGATTTATCATAGAGAATATGATAACATAGAAAAGTGAGTTTTCTTCCTTTCTAATCCTTCCTGTTTAATCTTCCTTTGGATACTGCCTTAAACTCTGGGTCATCTTTCTTTTGGAGCAACAATAAATTAGTGTGCTTTTTATGTAGAACAGGACAGCATCATCTTGTTCTTTGACTTAGATAAAGACCTAAACTTGATTTTCTCATTTTGCCTGTCCCAACCAGATACGTTATACTTTGTAGCAGTCTTCCTCAACATGGAAGACTACTATATAGTCTTGAGATTGACTGCACACTGCAAGGAATCTCCGTAACCTTCTAAGTTTAATGTGGAAAACCTATCTGCTATTCTTTATGCAGAATAAGCCATGGTTAGGTTTTTCCTTCTTTGTTCATGCAATTGAAGCATAAACATCAAAAAGTTGGTGTCTAAGATTGCAAAGAACTGTAAATCAGTGGGGGTGGGGGGAGGGTTCTTATCCTGATATTAATCAGTGAAAGGAGAGCCAGTGTGGTGTAGTAATTAAGTGTTCTGTTGCAACTGGTGGTAAAGAGAGCCTGGTGGAAAATCCCTAGTCAGGTTGCTGTAACCATATACTGAAATGAAAAAACATGCTTGCCACTTAGAAATCTAGAAAAGACCATTGTATTTCACTTTCCTTGATATCCCATAAGACTTTCTTATACAAACTTTACGTGTGCAATAAGTACAAATCTCATCATAGTATGAACTACAATTCTTCAGAGATAAATCTCATGGCAATAGTGCAATAGTTTTGGGGAAAAGAAGAAGAAAAGAGCATGTCATCCATACATATAAAGTACTGAGAAGATAGGGAAGGAAAGAGGTAAGGGAAGGAAGGAAAAGGAAGGAAAAAAACCAAAGAAGATTTTCCTGATTTTTTTTAAAAAAAATTTCCTGTCTTTATTATTTTTATAAATAACTCAAGACGGTGAACATACCTAATACTCCTTCCTCCTCCTGTTTTCCCCACAACAACAACCCTGTGAGGTGAGTTAAGCTTAGAGGGAGTGACTGGCCCAAAGTCACCCAACTGGCTTTCATGCCTAATTCCAGACTAGAACTCACAGTCTCCTGGCTTCTAGCCTGATGCTTTAACCACTAGACCAAGCTGGTTATCTTTCTCCCTGCCCCCCCCATGTTTTCTGGATTACAAAATAAAGGGGTATAGGCTTAATGTAACAGCCATATCAGTAGTACAAGTTTATGTATGTCTATTGAGAAATATCTTTCATTTAACTCATTGGGCCTTACTCCAAGGGACACGGGCATAGGCACGCAGCCTTTACTGCTTATTTTCACTGGCCATCATTAACAAGGAAACCCACATAAATAGGATCTTAATAATTATAACGCTCTTACCAAGATTTAACCCAATCCATTAAAGCTTGCAATAGTTCAGATTAAACAAAAGATACCCCTTCAACACCTTTGCCATACTAACATAATAACACTAGTATAATAACCCTATAACAATTGGTGTATGGAGAAGATAAGGGCACATGTACACATTTGATGCACATACTGTACTTTTTCCCCCCTTTTTAAAAAAAGCAGGCTTACCTTTTTCACTGACACTTTCACTTTCTATTTCTACATCATCACAGCTGGTATATTCTGGCGTTGATGCTCCTTCTTCCTCAGAGCTGCTGACAGACATCTGCCTTTTCTTCCCACCACGCTTTGATCTATGAGGCTTTGGAGGAGATGGCCGCACTGATTCTGACTGATCAGAACTAAGGGAATCATTTCTGAGCATGGTTTCCATTTTCTCTCGCTTTGCTTTTCGACTGAGAATAGCAGAGCTAGGATCCAGGCGAGTCTGTGTTTTAAAGGAATCATGATTTTTGGATTCTAAATGTTCCGTAAGAACCATGCTATGACGGGGTGTTGGTGGGCTATGAGAAATTAATTGTTTAGAAACAGAAATTCTGACATCACCTGTTCTTTCTACTGAATATGTCCGCTGGGCATCCACATGAGATTTTATATCCTGAGTTCCTTGCAACTGTGAATGCTTTCCAAGTTTATTCTCAGGCACCTCAGGTTCCTCAACTTCAGTATGAGGCAAGGCAACATCACTGTGTCTTCTTTCATGCCGCACTTTTGAAACTCTTGCATGCATACGCATCTGCTGCTCCTCAGGATGGGGTTTCACAGGATACCTTGCAAGGTTTGGATCACTCCTGTATCGGGTATATTCATCTTCTTTCCTTTGTTTTTCTTCATTAACTGTCTTGCCTTCCTCGAAATGGGGAGGGAAGTCAGAGTAGTCTTGAGACCTCCCTTTCTCTAATCTTCTACCATCACGCCTTTCTTTACTTCCCTTCTCATCTGTTTGTCCTTCACTCTGCTGTAGTGAAGACTTTGGCACACGTTTGCGCTCACCTTTTGCACCTCCTTTTCCATTTTGTTCAATACCTGTGGCTATCTTCTTCCTGATATAATGAGGAGGTAGGAAGAGAAATTTATTTATTTATTTAGAAAATATACAGTATAGCTCTCCATCTTAAATATATCATTCTGGGCAGTGAGCAATTCATCCAATATAAAGCCCCCCATCAACCAATGAAAATAATCCTATGCTAGAAAAAAATGACAATTCCATAAAATCAAACACATGTATATTGGGCTTCCCTAACATCTTGACCCTAATGCTTTGGAAAAAAGCCAGATTTTAACAGCTTTCTGGAAGGCCAAGAGGGTCAGAACCATCTGAATCTCAGGGGGAGGGTGTTCCATAGGGCAGGTGCTACAACAAGAAGACACATTTCCTTGGTCCTGCAAGATGGCACTGTTTGATAGGGGGGACGTGGAGCATGCCCATCCTGTTGCATCTGGTGGAGTGGGCAGAAGTCCTCAGAGATAGATGATCCTGCAAGAAACCTGTCCATTGGAGGGCTTTAAAGGTAATGGCCACCACTGTGAATTGCACCTGGAAGAATACTGAAACAGTCCTTGGAGCTGTGGTCCTGCATAGGCGAAATTTGGAGCATCCAAAACTGCACACATCACATTGCATTCTGCATAAATAAAATTTTAAATTATTTGGATAGAATTATCTTAATGCCTGTCTGAAAATTAACGCTAGTCTGCAGCTACTTGATGCTATTTTGATGTATTTCTTGAAGTAAGAAAACATCTAATGTCAGTTAGAAGAATAACTTCAGTGTTATTTCAGTGTGACAGTGTAATTACAACTCAGATAAAAACTCCCACTTTATCCTAATCCCACCAAGTAACCATTGGATCTTCCAAGAACTCTCCCCTTCCCTGCTGGAAAGAACATCAAGTTCCTGGCCAGCTGACCAACTTCCAGGCAGTGGATGGGTTCCAAAAAATCAATATGAACAGGCAGAATATTCAGCCAAGGTTTTGCCTACTACTGTCCTTAATGAAGCTTTGGTCATCAGTGGGCCAAGTTTTTTGGCCCAGCAATATTTGGAAGGAAGGAAGGAGCAAGACTTGTTATCACTTCAAGTAAGCCATAGTTATATCTGCCTCCTGCTGATGCAGAATACAATGTTGGATGCTTTTTTTTAATGATGACTCCCATGACATATGCCTGCATAGATGCATATTGTCAAATTATATTCAGTTCACTTCAGGACAATTAATTTTCTAATAGCCTTAATTACACTTTTATAGAAGGTAGAATTGCTAAAAAAAAACATGTACATATGAAGTATGTGATATTGTTTTTAAAATTAATCTCAAAAATCTTTTAATTAGGCTAATATGCTATCCAGGACCTTGTACCCTAGTTAAAGTTATTCACATATTGGTAATTCTCACATGGATTATTGCAATGCCTTATACTGGAACATGTTTAAAAAATACCTGGAAAATGTAGCTGGTTCAAAATATGACAGTGTGTTTGCTAAGATTGTTCCTATATAATTATGTTACACTAATGCTTTATGATCTATTATTCTGAATGTATTCCTAGGGCAAATTTTAAAAGCTGCTATTAACTTTTAAAAACTATATGTTTTTGAACCATGTTTTCAGAAGGAACTTTTACTGTGTTCCCTCAAGCACTAGTAGAAGTCATTTTAAAAAGTCAGGTTTTATTGCTTTTAGCCTATGGACAGGACAATAGCTGGTTTTATTTTATGGTTTTTAAGGGTTTTGATGTACATTAATTGTGCATTTTTCATCTTTGCTAAATAATGCATTGTAAATGGACTGTAGGTAAACATTGTTAATTAAATCTTAATATATAATCCTATGTATGGAACTGGCTGTACCAGTTTCTGGATCACTTTGGATGCACTCTGCAGGATGTTCTGCACAGGCAATCACTGTGACCCCATTACAATTTATTGCTCCAAGGACACACAATGTATGACCACTGGGGAAGAGATGAAAAGGGAACGAATGCATTGTAGAGAGGAGTAGGAGGGCAACAGTAGCAGGGTGAACAGTGGATTTTCCTCTCAATTCAAATAATGGATGTCTTTCCCATGCCAAGCAATGGGTGTTCTTGGGCTGATCATGTGTGTGTGTATTTTGGAAACAGAGATCCATTTTTATTCCATTTTCTGATTTCTCATGTACGTGTCTTCTCTGCCCTTGCTCTTCTCAGTTTGGTAGAACAGGCAACTGAAATTCCTCTCTCAGTCTATGCTAGCTGAGTATGGCAAGAGTGGCTGTTGAAGGCAGCCTCAAAGTTCTCCCCCACCATCAATGCTTCAGCCATTGACAATAAGCTTCTGGGCATCCCATTACAAAGTACACGTGAATTTATGTATTTATAATAATAACCCCCCACTACCTAATCTTACAGTTGTGGTTTTCCCATAATTATATGGGAACAGGCCATTAGCATCAATATTACCTCTCTCTTGGGGGTTCACTTCTAGATCTTGATGCAGTTTGTTTCTGTTCCAGGCCCATAGCTTGTTGTGACACTTCTGGGGCTTTCCTTCTGTTTGCTTGCACACCAGAGGATATTTCTTGTGAAGTTGTGGCTGCTGTGCTTAGGGGTATTTGAGATCGTGACCGTTCCTGAAGCCTTGCTTTCTTTTCTCTAGGTGATTCTGAACCACCACCAGTAGCTGTGTCACTCAGTGTTCCATCCTGACTGGATGGCTGTTGCGGACCACTTCCGAAAAACCATGCTCCAGATTTAGTTAGGATCTCTTGTTGCTTCCGGCATAAGTTGCATACCCACATAACCTAGTTACAAAGAAAAATAACAGTCTAAGTATCTGACATTAGTTTCTAAGAACAAGTTTACCTACACATTCACAAACAGCAGATTTTCCTTTGTGAAATTTGTGTTGGATCTCATGCTCAGGACATATTTATGGAGTATGCTACTTTGCTCACAATAACCAAATAGAATATATTTAAATATTTGAGCTTTGCCACACCAAACATTCAACATTCAAAGAGTTAGTGAACTATAGTGGTTAGGCTATGACTGAGGAGATCCAAATTCAAATCCCACGTAATTATGAAGTAAAACATTGGTGGTTATAGTTCCAGTACATTGCATGCAGAAGGTCCCCTGGTTCAATCCGTGGCATTTTCAGTTTAAGAGATTCATGCACCAGACAATGTGAAAGACCCTTCCTACCACAGATCTTGGAATTCTGCTAATAGCCAAAAAAGACAAAACATAAATTGTCTACTCTGATAAAAGACAAGTTTTGATGTTGCCCTAGAAAGGAATGGCATGAAAATAAAAATAAACTTGCAGTCACCCTGATTCTGTAGCTGAATCATACCAATGGAGGATTAGAAAAGATTGGAAGGATTACAATAAGACTGATTTTAGGGTAGCAAGCACTGCTCATGTATGATGTGAAATATAGCTGATCTTTGGGTTATGTTATTCAGTCTGGAGACTGTCTTTCATCCATTTATTTGAATTAACAGCTAATTAATATAGTATAGTAAAATGTTTTTTACCCTTTCAATTAAACATCAAAGGTTTGTGTACATTAAAAGTCAATCAATCATTTATACTTCTAACACTCCCAAATGTGATGTGCTTCAGGTCTACTATTATACATTTAAACTTAATCAGATGATTAAATTTACATAGAAACTTCATTTTTAAAAAAGAAATCAAAGCTCTGTGTTAGAAAAGATTTAAGAAGATCAACATCTCTTATTACAAGAATGATGATTATATGGTGCCTTAACAGTCTAACCACTCACCAGCATAAAATTCCTGGCTTATTATTGTTTTTCCTTTCTTTAAAAAAAAAAACAACTTTCCCCCTGCACTCAAATAGTGGATATTATACCATATTTTAAGATCATATGCTAGCAATAAGGATCATGAACAAATCTATGAAGTCATATCTATAGCTATCTATACCCTTCTTATGTTCAATGACTTCTGAGTAAATTTAATGGAAAATAGATAGTTTAGTGAAATGAGATAAATGAAAATAAATACACATAATACATTGCTTAAAAAGAAAAATTATAGACATATTTATGACACATAATATCAGAAATTATTTTTAAAAATTGAAGCATTCAAATGTGAAACAGAAAAATAAAGTCAATTGTATATTAAAATGGATATTAAGCTATATAGTTTTTAATAATTTAAATACACTAAAACAAATAATAATTTTTTTAAAAATGGAAAAATATTGAACTGTTACTGCTATTCACTAATGAGAAAACAACTGATAATGTAAAAAGTAATACTACTTTCCATTAAATATTCCCAAATATAGTATAGACTCAATATAACTTGGTAATAATGCAAATGAATAATTCTGCAACAGTCATTATAAGGAGCAGCCCAAAGGATGTCAAGAAATGCAAAACAATTTCATACACCCACTGACAATAAAGTTTGGATATAGCCAAGTAAATAAAACCAAGTAAATCTTTAAGAGCATATAATGCATACAAATACTTTTCAAACTAATTGGAAATTTATTATATTTCATTCTAATTCATTATACTCTCATTGATTATAATTAAACCAGATCTTATTATATAACACTTTTATTAAATATTTAAAGTTGATGTATGAAATGAAAAATCAAATGTGTGTATGCATTGTCAGAAAAAAAATATTTTCATACAAGAAAAGAACATATTAACAATGTAAAACTTTGTGTGTGTTTATAAAAGGGATTTTCATAAAAATGCACACCAGGAACGGAGTAAATAAGTTTACTTAAAAAGAAACTCCAGTAAAATAATAGTGGCAAAATCAATAAAAAAACAGGAAGCAACTGAACATTTCTTAAGCTTTATGAAATGGAGAACTGAAAGTAACTTAACATTATATTGTACAGATTAAAAGTCAAACTGAAACATGATTAGTGATCAATGACTAGAAAAGTTAAATGTGTGAATCTGTATTTGAATTGCACATATAACATCTCATGACCCACGGAAAGAATCAGAGTGTCGTCCAATTCTGTTAAATGCCCCAAACCTAGATTGACTGCTAGCATGCAAGATACTATGATGTATTTCTAATCCAAATTAGCAAATTAAAATGGATTATCTGTTGTGCAGTTACTTGTAGGAGCTACACACTGTATTGGATAAAAAAAAAAAAATAGGTAAAAACCAAGCCTACTATTGTATATATCATTGTGAAAAGGCTTTAATTTTGACATTTTTAACATAAGTTTCAGTATAACATTGGGATAGTATTTCTCTTTATCCAATATTTGCGAAACAAGCACAACTTTTAAAACCATTCTTTCTATATGAATTTATTTCTACATGCTTGCATGTTTTTGTACCACTGTTGTTTTTTCTTATGGGAATAACTATGTCTAGAAAATAACTAAACCAGTCATTACCCAAATATACATTTAACCATACAGGCACAATTTTCTTAAAAAACAAAAACAAAACACCTAGAAATGCAAATGCCATGCTTACAGCTATTAACTGGAGCATTTACACACACACATACCGTCTATTTTAAACGAAAAATAATCTACATTATACTCACATGCTACCAACTCTGCTTAGGCATGTCGTCAGAGTTTAGTTACTCACTATATGCTCAGTTGAACTACATTCTGTCCAGATAGGTGGGGTGGATAGAGACAAAAGCCCTTCCTCAAAAGAGTGGAAAATAAAGCCTTGAAGTGATATCATGGTTTTGGTGAGAAAGCTGCTTACTGAAAAATATTTAGTAGGGCAGTACGTGGCGCAAGCAATCTAAGCAGCATGCAGGAATTATATCCTGATTGAAAATACTGGGCCATAATCCAAACTAATCTAAATTAAAGCAGGCCTGTGTAATAATTTATTTTAACAATCCACAGATGTTAAACAACCCACAAAAATACTGATGAAGGATTATAATCCTTTCACATGGCTTCTGAACACAACTCACCAGGAACTGGAGGAAAGTTTCTGTTAATTTTTTTTTTTAATTCATTCCAATGACTCAATAGGGGGACAGAAATACGTGCGCAATTCACTCTTTTTCTCAATTGTGCCTGATGCAGCATTCAGCCGTAAATTCTTTCATTTCATAACTGTGCAGATTAGAAGCACTCCAGCCTGGGTGTAGAACTGCACTGCTAGCATGGTGAAACATATCGGTCTGTGTTCCACTGGACAAGAATTGTTCATGTTCAAACTAAATGTTAAATTCAAGCATACAGGATCCCATTGTGCTAGCATCAAGAATTCTCACACAAGCCCATATTAAAGTATATAGGGTGGTAAAAACATGCTTCTGAAGACTAAAAGCTTGAGCTCATGTGAACAGCCCATGGTGCTTCAGTCACATCTACATACAAGCGGCACACTTACTGTCTCTGGCCCTTCCAACAGTGGTCCGTGGCTAGCAGATACATTATTCCTGTACTAATACAATATGAAGACACAACTTGAAAATGATTGCAGAGTTATGACAAAAGCATACGACATAAATAAAATAGCATTTGCAATTTTATGTTCAAATGCTATCTATACAAATTAGAATTAAATAAAACATAACATTTAAGTAATTATCTACTCTATTGGTTTATAGAACGTCTACAGTATTGCATTGATGGGAATTTTGTGAGTCCCCAGATAGTATTGGTCTAATTCTTGCTTCCTGCTATGTTTGGTTTTGATGTAGTTGCATGTTATAGCTGTTTATTAAAAAGTTCTACAAGATCTTAGATATAGAGAAAGTTGGGTACTCATAACTGCCCCCGTAGCTTTCATTGCCTTTGTTTGGACAACACAGAATGTGTGGCATATGATGACTTGGGAACATGCTCAGAGGCTTCTTCCAGCTATGAAAGAACAAAGCACGGGTTCCCCCTCCAGCTTGTTCATGCCAGAAGAAGCTATTACACCATGTCCAACCAATGAAGCAACTTCAAAACAAATCATACTCCCTGGGAACAAGAGCCCCCACCCTGTGTGTTTGCTATTAAGCCATAAACCAGATTTTCCATGCTCCCAAATGCTCTCTGGACAGAACGTGTATGACTCTGAATCTGTACAACATTTCAGAGGATATATTCCATAACATAGCTGAAGTTCTGCTAAAACTCTAAGAATCAAATCTACTATTTTTGGAATTACTATGAGTATTGGCCATTGATTCCAACTAGTTTTATGCAGCATGCATCTTCCACACTGCTTTTAGCTGTATTATTACTTTATTACTAGCCAAAATTAGTAAACTGCTATTAAATTTAATGCCATCTCATTTAATGTCATTAAGTATGCCAGAATTATGCAGAATTTCTGCATGGATTGTATTTCTTTTCATAGCCGTTTCCGGCATTTAAGTGTTGGCAAAAACGCACCATGTTGTGAAGTATATAAAGCAGTTTTTGTTATAGTGCAAGGATTCGATGCCAATACTACTGATTGTATTTGTACAAGGTGGCAGAAAATTTTCTAAAAATGAAATGTAACAGGAGATGCATATCTTTATTAATTAGATTTAATCTTCTCCCAAGATTCTGAAATATTATCAGTCAAAATGCACAGTTACCTACTAGAAGCAGGTTAGCTAAATCAACAGTATTAAATCTTTCCAGACATCTTACCATTGGCCCCGGTAGTCTCTTGTGATACACAGTGCCTGCACATTTTCTCTCCCCCCACCCTTCTATCCCATTTCAATTAAAGCTTCTTTTTGGAATGATGTCAAGAATTAACCATCCATGCACAGCAAAAGTAACTTCAGATTGGAACAAGTGAAATGAAAAGAAAGATGAATA